GCATGACCATAAAAGATCATGACCTGAGCCGAAACCAAGAGTTGGATGCTTAACTGACTGAGCCACCCAGGCTCCCCAGAATGAATGGTATTTTAAAATTAAACATACCACTTTAGCAACACAAAGACTTTGAATAATGCCATTATGTTGTAATTTAATGTTGTTGTATTTAATGAGATTGGGCATTTGCATATAACTTTGTCTCAGAATAATTTCAGATCAAATTCCATAATTATAATAAAAATCTCTACATGACAAAAAAATAATTATAATTTCAATAAAAATCTCTACATGACAGAAGATTTTAAACACCCAAATCTACTTGTTTCAGCTATTATTGGACCTATCACAATTCAAACACACCAATCAAAAAAACTGTGGCCTGTCCCTTAATGTTTGTTCAGTGGTATACTCGAGCTAGTTCCTACTGGTTTTACAAGAGTCAGCTGTTAAGTGTGTGGGAATCTGGGTAGCTGGTTGTTTAACTGTTGGTAGCTTGAAGTCGGCCCAGGAGGGAGTGTTTACACCATGGAAATTAGCAACCACCATAAACTGTGACATGCATTCATCCCCCCCACCCTCCCAACACCGAACTGGTTTACTATGCCACTGGCTATAATGTACTATAACCTGCAGCAGAAAATATAGGTAACTTCATGATTAAAATGGTCAATATATAACTATTGTTGTACATTATATGTATACAGAAAACAGACACTGACCCTTATTTACGTTATCACAGTGACTTGAATAATGACTAGGAAACTAGAAAAACCAGACATTTTTGATGAAAGGAGGTAAATTTTTACTGCTTACAGTTCAACTTTTTGAAAAGCATTCTAGTCTAAGTGGTAAACCACCATCACTTCTGCAAGTGACTCCAGAAACTAACCTATAAAAAGGGAACTTTCCATTAAATTGATTAGAATCACAGAAGACAAAAACGGTGGACATTTAAATGTGAAAATCACATTGTAAGAAATATCGGGAGATTCCTTGTTTTCCTATGTGTGTCTTACTAATAGTGTCCCACAGGAGCAACAGCACATAAAGTACTGATCTCCTATAATTGTGCTCAATAACTTTTGATGGGTAAGTCGTGAGGATTAAGCTTCAGCCAAAGCTCCCCCCTTCTGGTTTGCAATTTTACGCATAGTGCCCTTCTTCAGTGAAAAGAGTTCTTCAGCTGTGTTTAATGCAAAATGATGAGAGAAACAGCATAGAACAATGACTCCATTTTAACTTTCAGGGTTTAACCAATCCCTCTGGTGTTCTGTGCTACAGACCCAAGGGGAGGGGGTTCAATCCATCTGTTCCATGACTTAGAGCGGTGATTCTCAAGCTCTAGGGTACATCGGAGTCGTCAAAATACAGCCTTTCTAATTCAGGAGGCCTGAGAAGGTGCCTGAGAATTTGGATTTCTAACAAGTTCCCAGGGGATGCTGACACTGCTAGTCTGGCCACCTGCTTTACAACAGTGCTTCTCAAACTATAAAGTGCTTACAAAACACACTATCAAATGCAGATTCTGATTTAGCAGGTCTGAAGTAGGAGCTAAGATTCTGCATTTCTAACAAGGTCTAGAAGATGCTTAGTTGGAGACACACATTATGAGGAGCTAAGGTTTACTGAGAAGATGATGATGCCGGATCAACCTCTGGGTAGCCAATTCCTTGAAGGTGAAGCTGTAAAGTCAGACTCAATGGTCAAACAGACCTAGAGAAAATCAACTTCTTTGTTATCAGTTTTCCTATTTCTTTCACTCTGTTTCCTTTTCATCCTCCTTCTTTAATTGCCACCTGTATGTCTCCGCACCACCTCTCCTGTCCAAAACTACCTCAGTACCATCTTCACCAAACCAGATCTCTAACTTCCACCAATGTCCGTATTTCCATCCAACCTAAATAGTACCACTATCTGAGTCCCTCACTCAAAGACACACTCAAGTCTTCTTTTGTACTTATTCTTTAATTCACTCAGTTGCCAGGCTCTGCGAATCCTCCCTGGGGATATTTTTATCACTATTATCTCATCTATAGTTTCTTGCTGTTCATTTACTGCCTACACTGTACCAGGTTCTGAGCTAGGTACTTTCCACACAGCACCTTTATTTGTAATCACCCTTCAAGGAGGCATGGCAGTGAGAGCTGAAATGACATCCCATAGACATCACAGCCAGGATTCAAACCTGGGTCTGCCCAACTTCAAATGCCATGATCTTACTTTGCCATGGTGACTCTCTCTGGTCATCCCTTCATCTCGATTTCACTGGCCCTTCATCTCAGTGGGAGCTTCTACTTCCATTCCCACTGGAATCTGGCCTCACCCTGTACTCAGATGCTGTTGTCCTCATGACAGTGCCAAAGAGAAAAAAACAAAAACACTTCAACAGCTCATCCTTGAATAAAGGATGAACACACACACACACACACACACACACACACACACACCCATCAGCTCTTAGATTCTCTACAATTTGGCAGCTTAAAACAAAACAAAGAGCCCTTACATCAGTCAGAATGAAAATATTTTTGGAATTGGGAGAGGGGGGAAATGTAAATAGACCCACAAATATGCCACATCTCATGTTCAGAAACCATAAACTTGCTTTGGTGGCAACTATAAACACAGAAAGATGATAGACACAGCAATGCTGGACCAACCTCCCTTGGAAAGACTGGATGACATTTTTATGACTGATGGGGGAGGGGGTTCATTCCTTTTGGATTTTAGGACTGTGGTGGGTGAGCTCTTTATGTCTCTCCAGGGCTATTTCTTGCATTCCATTAGCAGAGCCTCAGAAGAGTTGGTCACCAGAGAGGTTAGGATAGATAACAGAATCTAGGGCGAGGAAGTTGCTTAGGGGTCATCTGGTCAAGTGTCATTGTGTTATTGATGGGGAAAGTGAGGCCGGCGAGGTAAAGCAAATCAGGAGCCACGCGTCCTCACTCTCAGGGAAAGGGTCTTTCCCTCCCATTATGGCCATGTGTGCTAGGACTGTGTTTACCACCGGACATCTTGTGCATGTGGTATTCATGCAGACCTGCTCCCAGACCGCTGTCACTGGTTCATATTCTGAAGAGCAGGGTCATTTCCTCGTGATGTGCCTTTCTCCCTGCTGGCCTAATCAAGCATTTAATCAATATCAGATGGCACCGCCTGGCCTCCCTTTCCACTTGACACACTTTCTGTGTCTTGTTTTTTCTCTCCCCAGAGACTTATTTTTAATAAGAATTCTGTTTTATCTTTCCCTCTCTGCCCTCTGCTGGGAGGACACCTGGCCAAACATACAGATGCCTACTACAAAGAGATCCTGCTGGCTCACGTAGCTGGGGACCCCCCCTCCTTGAACCTAGATGGTCACAAAAAACATTCGAGAGAGATATCCCCCTGTTACCAGCCTTTGTACTGTTTGTTTTCTCAGCATTACTTTCCAGAGACTGGGGGCTTTGTTCCTGTTGGAGGGGCTGGGGGGGGAAGGAAGGGCAAGGGAATCAGTCTGCAGAGTGCTGGAGATAAGGCATTCTAGT